TGTGCGGGTAGCCACGGGGCCTGAGGCCCAGTGTGCGGGTAGCCACGCGGCCTGAGGCCCAGTGTGCGGGTAGCCACGGGGCCTGAGGCCTAGTGTGCGGATAGCCACAGGGCTCAGGCAAAGTGTATGGATGGCCTCAGGGCTTGAGGCCTAATACGTGGTTAGCCATCGTGCCTGGTGGCCTGATGTGTGATTGTCCCACAGGCAGAAGCTTAGGTGTGGGATTCGGCCCTAGTGCGTGGATGGACTCAGAGCCTGAGGCTTCATGTGTGTTTGAGCATGGGGCCTGAGGCCTAGTTTGTGGTTCGCCACAAGGCCTACTGTGTGGTTAACTATGGGGCCTGAGGCCTAGTGTGTAATTATTTGTGGGGCCTGAGGCCTAGTGTGTGGTTAGCCATGGGGCCTGAGGCCTTGTGTGTATTTGGCCACGGGACCTGCGTCATTAAGCACTCTGTCTGGAGTCCAGCTTATGAGGTTAGCCTCAAGTGAACCATGTGTTTTTTGGTAAGGTAGGCATCACCAGGGCAAGAGTTCAGGCCTGACCCCAGGCCTTGAGTCACTCATGCCGTGCACAATCCCCTGAAATGTCCAGATCCAGTCCCCAGGACCCAACGAGGCACCAAGAGAGTGTCAATTTCAGTGTTGACAAGGAAGTTAGTCACTTAGATGAGAGAAAGTTAATAGACCTGGCACAGGAATTTGAATTAATTGGTAAGGTTGATCAAGAAAAGCCAGTTCCACTGGTTGGTCCATTGGTAATAAGAAGGAATCAAATCTAAAATCAGCTTGAAGGCAGGGTGCGGTTTGAGGAATTTGTTATTTTACCTAGAAGGTTTTTTAGGTGGGGAGATTTCTTTTTTTGTTTGGAGTGACAGGAATGCAGACTCCGGAATTTAAAAGGGCAAAGGGACAATATGTTGGGGAAAGGAAAATTGGACATTTCCTAGACACAGGACCCTGGGGCTTGGTGTGTGGTTGGTCTGAGATCTGTGGCCTAGTGTGTGGTTAGCCCTGATGCCTGTGGCCTAGTGTGTTGTTAGCCCTGGGCCTTGCAGCCTAGTGATTGGTTGGCCCTGAGCTTTGTTGCCGAGTGTGTGGTTTCTGCTGAGGCCTGTGATCTAGTGTATGCTTCACCTTGGAGCCTGTGACCTAATATGTGGTCGTTCCTGGGCAGTGTGGCCTAGTGTGTAGTTGGCTTTGGGGCCTGTGGGCATCTGTGGTGTCAGCACAGGGCCTTGACCTGGTGTGTGGCTGGTGTTGGGGGCCTAAGGCCTAGTGTGTGGCTGGTGTTGGGGCCTAAGGCCTAG